TGCTTGCCAGGGAAGCACTTATTCTACTGAGCCATCTCCCCGGCCCCCCGATTAGTTCTTATTACAAAAATTGTACATCACTATACAATACAGAAAAGTACACAGTAGGAAACACTGTTAAAAGACATCATTTATGCACTTACAATTTCCTGTTCATAAACACTGGCTCAAAGGAAGCAACATGGCCTGCACCATTTTCCCTTCCACATTAGGATCCACAGGCTGATGGTCATATTTTTGCATGACACGCACTACTTTAAGGATGTACCACAACTACTCTTCTAATAACTATTCATGTCATCCCTCAATTTTTCTTTTCTTTCTTTTTTTTTTGGTACAGGGGATCAAACTCAGGACATTGTGCTTGCCAGGCAGGCTCTTAGGCTGCTGAGGTATATTTCAGGCCTTTCTTTTCTAAGTTTTATTCTGTGTGTGTACACACGTACATAAAATATCAAAGCCAGGACATCATACATGTTAGGCAAGTGCTCTCATAAGCTACATTTCCAGGCCTCCCCCCCCCAGTCTTTCATAACTAAAAGCTGCTGCCAGTTACTATCTTTATATAAGCATCTGGTGTCTTTTGTCTTATTTTTTCCTCAGATAAAGTCCTCTAAGCATAGTGCTGGGGAGGTAGCTTGGCAGTCTAAGCACCTGCCTGGCAAATGCAGGGAACTGGGTTCAATCCCTGGTACCACATGCCATGCCAGCCCTGGAACCCCAGGTATACCATGCTGGCCACTGAAACCAGGCATGGTGGCACATGCCTGTAATCCCAGTCCTAGGGAGGTAGGAGCAGGAGGATCGATGCAGGTTCAAAACCAGCCTGGGCTACATGGTTGATGGCCAACCTAATCTATATAGTGAATCCATGTTTCAAACAAACAAGTATAATTGCTGGAGTAACTAGTACGTTTATTTAAAATGAACAAATTTGGCCAAACTGTACCAGGTTATGAAACCACACCAGGCTCACATTTTTCTTTCTTTCTTTTTTTTTTGGCGGAACCAGGTATTGAACTCAGATCCTTGCGTTTGCCAGTCAAGCGCTTATCCTACTGAGCCATCTCTCTGGCCCCAAAGAAAGGTTTTTTGTTTGTTTGTTTTTTGCAGAACCAGGAATTGAACTCAGGTCCTTGAGCTTGCCAGGCAAGTGCTTATTCCACGGAGCTATCTCCCCAGCTCCCAGGCTCACATTTCTAACAAACTCCAGACCACCTCTACATTCTTCCCCACCTGACCACGACCTTCTCCTTGGGGCCTCCAGTTTCTCCAGGGCTTCACTTAACATGGGAGTGGGATCAGCAGCAAGCCCAGAGGACCTGCTGCTCAAACAAGATGAAAACTACAGGCCGGTACTGTTATGTGGGCAGATTCTCAATATCCCTTTCTAGTTTATCATCCATATATCTCAAGGTCCTACTCCAACATCTGTCTAAAACAAGGAAGTGGGGGAGGGACAGTAGTCTTCACCTCTTGCCAAGTGGATCTGCCTTTAGGCCTCCAAATCCCTCTGCCTCTGCTCCCCTGCTAGCTGCCCATAACACTGGTCACCAACCCTCAATCCTTGGCTGAGCCTCAGGTGAGCTATACAACTTGGGTTTACCTTTGAAAGATGAAGAATTGTGTTTCTACATCAAAGTCATGCTGATTCTTTTACACACACTCTTTTATGCTTGTATTAACATTGGGCACAACATTCTTGAGTTTTACCTGGAGTTTTCTGTGTTCTCAGCTCTGTATATAGTTGCAACCCAAGATGAGCAGCCCTTCTCTGGACTCCCAGGGTGCTTAGAGTGGGACATACTGGGAGGGTAAGTAGGACCCCCAAACAACTATCCTCACATCAGCTTCCTGCTCCTGTCAAGCAGCAGTGGGCTTGCCCACAAGGGGCAGCTAGCTGCTCATGGCCCAGTTCCCCAGGGCCCTCACTGGGGGCCAGAGAAGGAGGAAGAGGACTGGAGAGCAGACTGCTGCACTGGGCACTTTTTTTCTCACCCTCTGACAAGAATCTGCTAAATAAAAGAGGAACAAGGTCAAGCCTGCTGTTAAGATGCCAGCTGCCAGAAACAACAACAGATGAGCCTAGAGGTGCATATAAGTGAATTTCTTAAAATGTGCTATCAAAGAGAACCATGCAGGCTTGTATCTGCTCCTGGAGGCTGGGGATACAGCACGCCACAAGCACACAACATGGACTCACCATGCAAGCATGCTCAAGAGGGCCTGCCTACCAGAGGTTTGAGAAGTCAGAGATGGTGCATGCTGCTAGAACTCAACCAGTTTCAGATGTTTTGCGTCTAACTTATTTTTAGAAGAAATTCTGAATTTACTGTAAATATTTCATTAGGCAGTTGCTAGTGTTTCGGCTATGACACCAGAGTCCACAGCTGATTTTTCCCCCCAAGTACTGAGGACTGAACTCAGGCCTTTGCACTGACCCAGTCCTTTTTATTATTTATTTTGAGGTAAGGTCTAGCTAAGCTACCCAGCTTAGGCTCCAACTTGCAATTCTCCTAGAAAGCTGAGATTATTGACATTATAGACCACCTCACCTGGCTCTATAGAACGTCTTTAAACTTCTGGGTTAACAGTGAAAAGTATCTAGAGATTTCCAAGTTAAGCTGTTTTAAAATGTTTCATTACTACTTATCTGTATTAAAAAAAAAAACCTGTCATAATTCACTGTATAACGAAGACAAAATAAATTAGAAACACAGAAAATCAATAGAAGATGACCATCATTAATGACACTTAGACTTCACTAACTTACTGTACACAATAGCCCCCCTTACCTTTGGTCCTGCGCCCCAGGATTTCAGTTATCTTTGGTAAATATCATTCTAAAAATATTAAATGGAAAATTCCAAATATAAATAATTCATCAGTTTTAAACTTCATACTGTTCTGAATGGTATGAAGAAATCTGACCCTCTCATTCCATGCAGGACAGAAATCAACCAGCCAAGGTGTGTCCACACTGTATGACTTAGTCACTTAATTGCTACTCAATTATCAGAGTGTTTATGTTCAAGTCATTTTTTATTATCTTGTTATTTTACGTTATTTTATTATTTTAATTTAACTTAACTTTCCTTTATTGAGACAGGGTCTTGCTACATAGTTCAGCCAGGCCTTAAACTCACTTTATATCCCAGGCTGGCCTTGAATTCCTCCTGCTCCAGCCTGGGATTACAGGTATGGGTCACCATGCCTGGCAAGTCACCCTTATTTTAATAATGGCCCCAGGCCAAGAGTAGCAATGCTGGCACTTTCAATATGCCAAGGGAAAGCCACAAAATGCTCCCTTTAAGTGAAAGTAAAAGCTCTCAATTTAAGGGGGAAATAATATGTGTGTAATTCCAGCAATTTGAGAGGCTGAGGCAGGAAGATTGCAAATTGGAACCCAGTCTGGGAAACTTAAAGACTTAGTGAGATTCTGTCTCAAAATAAAAAAAGGAATAAAAATTTAGCTTAATGCAAACATGCTAGATTTAATTCCTAGCAACTCAAGAAAAAAAAAAAACAAAAACAAATATAAAACCCAAAATATATGCTAAGGTTGCCACGATTTACAGTTGGCTATTGCTGTCAATCTCTATGCCTAACTTATAAATGCAACTTTATCACAGACATGGATAAAAAGGAAAAAACATAGCCTACATAAGATATAGCACTCTCTGGAGTCGTTAGACAGCTAGTGGGTCTTGGAACATACTGCCTGTTACTAAGGGCAGATTTGTGTGGTGGAGCCTGCTCTATGGTCAGAGCTTCACGTGCTTGTCAGTCACTAATCTATGCATGCTAGTATGCTCATTTCACGCAGAACTTCTCTAAAACCCAGAGAGATTGAGAAGTTGCCCAAGATCACAAAGCAACTGAGTGAGCCACAGAGTTCACCCCTACCCAACATGGATCCAACTGGAGCTCCAGGGTACTGGTTATGCTTTCTATTAAAAAAAACTAGAGACCTCCACTTAAGAAATAAATGCAACTTTATCACAGACATGGATAAAATAAATAAAAAATAAACTCCCAGATACAAAGTACCACTTACCGTTTATATTCTAGGATCATACCTAAGATTTCATTTGAAAACAGGGTTTCCCTGCCAAGAAAACCCCTGCTGTGGGACACTGGTTGCTAACGTGAAAAGCACCAGATGCCATGATATTCCAGGAATGACTTTCTCCTACAAATGAAAAACAACTCTGGAGTCGAAACTTAAAAACACAACTTCAGGGAGAAAAGGATGTCACTCATTTCCAGTTTAATCTGCAATTTGTTCATTTATCAGCAGGGTTTGGTTTTCCTAGCAGGTAAAGTCCAGGGGATGCTAAATATTTAAGAAAACTTCACAGAAAGACAAAGTTGAACTGAAAAATTCTACCTATAAATATTAACCTTTTCCTTAGTAAACAGGAAAAGTACCACTATTACTTTATTTTACCCAGGGTCTTTGCACTGAGCTATATATCTCCTGACCTTTTTCTATTTTTAATTTTGAGATAAAGTCTCACTACATCACCATGCTTGCTCCAGCTGGGCTCAAACTTATGATCCTTCTGTCTCGGCCTCCCCTCAGAGTCCTGGTTTTACAGGAATACACCAACATGTCTAACTCAAATAATATTTTCTAACTATTGTTCATTTGCCAAGAGTTGAGAGACCCACATGCTGCAATTAAACTCATCAGCTGAGTTCTTTATAGCTTTATATCCAATAACGAAAGAGAGGAAGTGGATGCCTTCAAAAACTTATTCCTCCAAAAATGGGAGAGGTCAGTTTGCTGGATTATTCACCACCAGTCAGCCCAACCACATTCCCTGGCACAGAGCCACCTCACAGAGCTCACAGAGACAAAGACCATAGCTCTGCTGGGGTTTGTGAAAGGCCAGAACCTTGTTTACCTCTCAGAAACAGCTGTCCTCTGTGAAAAATAAAGTTTAGACTGAGGAAAAGGAAAAAAGGAAAGCCAGGAAAGTCCATCTTCCCCTTACCTTGTTTCTCTTTTTCTTTGAGTGGGTCAGTGTTGTAGACTCGAAATCCATTTTCCATCCCACATGCAAAGCATCCTGAAGCAGGAGTATGAAAAGACATATGAGTTAGTCCCCAGTGGACAAGAGCAAAGTGTCTGGGGACATGGCACCTATAGGTTACCAAACCACATAGACATGCTGTGTGCTTGGCCACAGCCACCCTTCTCAGCAATGAGACAGTGACATGCGTGTCCTGCATCACTGAGCATACATGGAGCCTCTGGAGTTATGAATGCTAGCTTCTTTGCTGCAGGTCTTCCTGCTGCATTCCTGTGGACCAGCCTAGACCTGAAGAGTGAATTCTGGGAAGAGCGCACGGGTGACCCCAAAAAGCTACTCTGCCAATGAGCATTCCTTGAACACTCGCCTCTCACACTCACTGGACCTGCTTTTAGAACATGTTTTTTGGGTGCTGTCAGGCATTACACTAGTCCTAGAGACACAGTAACAAGCAGTGTTCACAGGCAAGGGAGGATATGGCCGCACACATGCTTCTCTAGCCAGTGTGGACAAAGCAGGTGAGGGAAGGCGGCAGGACCCAGCAGAGACACAGGCTAGCCCAGACTCCTGAGACTGGAAGAAGAGTAATGGCCTCTCTAATTTACCTTGGCCTGATCTCCTAGAAGATACTAACTGCTCAAACTCCTCAGATCCCTGTCATGGTCAGAATGAGACCAAGGTCATCATCTCCAAGTCACTCATCCAGGTTGTTAATGATCTACATAAAAAGGCACTCAAGTTTCAAGACTATGTTGCTTTATTTACTGTGACCTGGACTTCAGCCACCCTAGGCATGGCTCAAGACTACAATGACCTCCTTTAAATGCCTCGCTCAACTGCTGGTTCAAATGAAGCTTTGAGAAAAACTAAAGCCTCCAATTCTTCACATGAAATGTTGTAAAGCCAGGTTCCTGCACAACTGGTTTGAAAGCCAATGTTAAGGCCTTTTAAATTCCATTCTTTTGGTTTTGGTCCATCTCTTCAGTTGTGGAACCAGATTATTCTGTCCCATTAGCCACCCTTCCAAATGGAAAAGTATGGGTATATTTTTTGTCCAAAAACTACAGATCAAGACAGATTCCAGGATCCATGACAGCTACCCGAGGGAATCAGCAACCACATGATCAACTCCTACACTCTGAAATGTAATTTAGCTGGGCCTGGAATCTGAAAACTCACTTGAAAGTACTACGTTATCATGTCTTAAATTGTTCCGGGTTATAACATCCTCATGGTGTTACTGACATTATATAACACAGATAGAGGAATAAGAGCTTTCTTCACTGAAAAATACAGAAATAGTTCATTTTTTTCCCTTTCAACTACTACATCTGTCTTTTTTTTCCCCTTCCACTTTATGTATTTAGTACAGGGTCTCACTATGCAGCTCAGACTCGTGGTGATCCTGTTTTCAGCCTCCCCAGCACTAGGATTACAGGCATGTACCACCATGCCTGGATTCGGCTGCCCCAGGGGTGGAGCCTGCATGACATGAGGAGATTGAAGATCGAACCCTTGTCCCTGTGCTTGCCAAAGCACATGCTTGTCCACTGAGCTATCTTGCTTGCCCTGTAAATCTTAATTTTAAGTCTATATCTACTGGTCTTCATCAGAAAACAAATTCTTGGTTAAATATTTGTATAAAAACATACAAGCTTCCTTTATAAATCCATAAGCAAAACAAAAAGATAAAATTGATCATCAAACCAGGTATGGTCATGTGCACCTGTGATCCCAGCACTCATGAGGCTGAGATATGAGGATTGCCATGAATTCAAAGCCAGCCTGGGCTATATAATAAGTCTAGGCCGGCCTGAATTACATGGGAAGACCCTGTCTCAAAAAAAAAAAATCATCAGTAAACATAGAATCATGAAAATGTAAATAATGCACACCAGTCGAACTGGCTAAAATGATGGCTACAAGTGCCATCTGGGTACAGAGCCACAGAACACTGAGATTGCAGGGGAGGGTGAAATGCTAAGAGCACTTTGGAGAACTGTCTGCATTGGCTAGGATAGCTGTCAACTATTCTCATCTTACCCTTGTAGAACTGGAAACATATGCTCATCAAAAGATATGCATCACAATAATCACAGTAGCTGTTACATTTGCAGAAGCCAAAAACTGGAACCTACACAAATGCTCACAAAAGGTAAAATGGATAAATGAATTGCAATGTATATCCACAAAGGAACACTATATGTTAACTAGAAGGGTCTATAACCACAAGCAACAATAGGGGGAGAAAAAATAACCCCAAAAACATGTTGAACAAAAAAGGCTGAACCAGGCTGGCATTATACATAGTTCAGCTGTAAAGTACATACCTAGCATGCTCGAGGACCTAGGTCAGGGGTGGCAAACCTGTGGCACTTGAATCAAGTCACCCCAGCAGCTAAGTAAGCATCAGACATCCAGGTTTTATTTCAGTGTTGGCACTTTTCAATAAAAGTAGGCTTGGGGTTGCAGTTGGGGCACGCATCTCTAAAAAGTGCACCATCACTCCACTAGCTTATTCCTCAGCATCAAAAAACAAGCAAGCAAAAAACAAAAACAAAACAAAACAAAAAAAGCAAGCAAACAAAAGTCACTAACAGGGCTGGTGAGATGGCTCAGTGGTCTAAAGCACCTACTTAGAACAAGCTTAGCAAAGCACAGGGACCG